GGAAATGCAAATGCATTACCATTTCTACGGAACAAGTCGCCACATGTTCCAACCCCCAACCTGGAGGGCCAGGAGACTGTGTTCGTCAGACCTCTAACCATCGACCAACCTGGTATGACAGACTGAGTGAGTATCGCGGGACACTCTCCAGTATAGCTCAGGGGATCGCTGAGGTGCGCAAACCGTCACACCACGGTAGGTCCAGTCTGTGACGGGAGGTAGGTCCAGTCTCTTCGTGACGGGAGGACAAACATTATTCTACTGTGGCCATCTCATGAACTGCAGTCAATCATTTCTCGAATCGCTAATGTCCATGAATGATGCTCAGTGGCCAAGTCTCCGCAGAAGATTAGAGAATTCCTGTTTCTGTACTCAGCGCGGTGGATAACACGTACGCCGAAGAGTTCAACCTTAGCCTTAGTATCCAGGTTTTCAACTGACATTTCAAGTGGAAGCGCCGTCCCGCGCAAGGCATTGACAGCTGAAAGTTGTGGCACTACATTATCAAGCTGGTTTTCAGGACCTGTAAAGACCTTCGAAGATGCTCACGTTAAATCGCCTCTGAGAGACATGGAATGTCGTAGTTGTGGTTGTCTGAAACGAAAACTTGGGATGCTTTCCAATAGTTTATGCGACTAAAATAGAGTTACAGTGACCCCATCCGGAGTCCGACCCGAAATGCTGGTCAGTAAGTTAACGGGTGCTGGGGCCTGCCTAATGTATGAAGATCAGCCTCAGAGACAGCAACATCACTGTTGACAGCTGCTGTACGACCACAAAGCCTCAACTTGAAAAAAAGACTGAATGAGAGAGAGACCTGGTGATGAACTAGCGCAAGTATCCTCAAATGCCTACACCTCCAAACAGATAATCTGGAAGAAACTGGCTGCACGAACGCCACTGACATCGGTTAGACTGAAAATTTTCCCGCACATGCCACATCTCGTAATTGTAACCACGGGCCTTACTGTCGCCTGATACACTCAGCCTTTGAGACGCAAGAATGTCTTTTCGATGTCACAACTGAGGCAAATTGGCAAACATGACTCAGGCCTCTGAGACTCGTGCACTGACTTCGTCAGATACACTACCATCAGAGCTGATAAAACTATCTACGTATTCACAATTCTCCACAGTTTCCAGCGCTCCTCATTGAACTGCAAGCAGCATTTTCATAGACTGCACATTCTGAAGGATGTGTCGGAACTTCGTACGTGCAAGACAAGTGCTGAAAGATAGTAACATGGTTGCTAGTTTAATCCACAGCGTGTGCTACACTGTTCGAGGTATGTAAATATCGTTCAGCTGTAGCACACTTTCGGTACTTAGCTTCATGCCACCCGAAGGAAGTACGAGGGCTAGGTCAATGTCAGGTAGCTTAAGCCTAGACAGGAGAAGTCCAGATGCATGTCAGATTCAAACCACGAACCTTCCGATCAGTGAGTTCGCGCTCTAACCACTGAGCTATCTATGTAGATATAAGAGCCGAACTAGATTCACCTACTTCTGAGCCACTACTTGTTGAGCAAGCACGGTTAAAAGCAATCACCCACCGACAGGATCAAATGAGCACTTGAAGTCAGGAAATACCGAGATGGCGGGTTGCGAATTCGGTATAAACTCTACCAGATCGAAGTTGAAGTTTCACAAACCACCTCACAAGGCAAGGNTGCCAGAAGCGCTGTTACAGCAGGAATCAAAGTGACTCGCCGTGCTG